ARRRAAAAARAAAAAAAAAAAAAAAARRWMAMWAACAGTAAAAAACGRTCATATGGRAAATACATTTGTGACTGGATTCATCCAAGGGTGAATCAGTTATTAAGTATTTTGACTTTTTTTAGATTTTATAAACAAAATCAAAGAAAATCAAATAAAATCAAAACCTCACGCAACCGAGATACAACGGATTACAAGAGGGAGGGAAAACACATGTTTTGAGTACATCCGGAGCCAATATTGAGTCTGGATGCACTTGGAAATTGACCACTTCATTTTGTTTCAGTTTGGGGCAAGCTGTAGGGCAATGAGACTAGGAAAATGACCACTACTGCAGTCCGAAGAAATAACGGACCGCATTGGGGTGCCAAGACCAAGGGAAAATAAGCCTTGGCACACTCAAGACACTAGAAAGAAGTGTCTCATGCTCGGAGCAAGTTGAGATGGTAAATGGCAGTTGTGCGATGAGGATCTCGTGGCCGGGAATAATCAAGGCACTTGAGAGACATGGAAAAAAGAGATTGGCACTTTCAGCAACTGAGGAGTCCCAAATAAAAAATGGGATGTCATCGGGAACGATGTCGGGGACTAAATGGGCCCAAATAAAAATAACTGAAATTTGGGACATGTGCCAGCGGAACTGCCGGAGGGACAAAAAAAAATGGAACAGTGTGGCATGAGTGATGGGGACTTGAGTATCCCAAGAGAGTCTGCAGGCTCCGCATAGAGGATGAACACATGAAGCAAGCGGCACCGTCAAAATCAAGATCTTGACGATGGAAAATATTAGCAACCGCTAGTGTAAGAATTGAGTGAGGCAAAGATAGAGGGAGTGAGGAACCAAAAAAAGAGAGGGAGTGGTGAAGGGAGGCCTGCCCTACGGTCCGAGATATCCCGGACTAGAAAGACATGCAAAAATAGAGCACATAGGGCCTCTACGTAGAAAATAGGCTATCAAGAAAAAATTGTAGCAAGGGGGGTCAAAAATTGAGACTAACGGAGGTAAAATGGAGCCCCCATGAGTGTGGGGGCTTCATTATTGCAATTCGAGAAATAAGGGTCAGCTGCTAGGTCTAGATCTGTCTCTAGATCAAGATCCATGGCCTAGAAAGAGAGTCTACAGCTGCTTGGCACTTGTCAGAACAGAAATAAAAGAAAAGAAAAAAAAAAAGGGAGAAAAAGGAGGGAGAATGAGACAAAGAGGAAGAAAAGAGTGGGGGAGGATGTGCCAGTCAGTTGGGATTGGCACAATAGGGACTGACAGGTCCCTACTGTGACATCATCACTCCGGATTTCGTGGAAGGCAATCCGGCGTGAAGAGATCCCTTAGGGCATTATCTCAACAATATGTGAATTAAAAGGGCAAAACAAATGAGAGAAAAAACAAAAAGAAGTTGGCCAGTTTCTTTTTTCTAGAGCATGGATCTGAGATTCCGATCAATGGAGGAGGAGATATGGCCGTTATTTGTCGGACCAGCTCAAACGGCCAACTCCGAAATGAGTTGGCAGCCCAAAATGGAAAAAAACAAAAGAAGGAAAAAGATGAAGCAGTACAATTGGCCGAAAATGAAGGCCATACGCACAAAAAATTGAAAAAGTCTAAAGCAAGGACCACTTGGGGGTAGCACAGATTAACGCTGGCCTTGGATCTCGACCAGATCCAAGGCCGAGGGAAAGAAAAATGTCAGATCCAAGGCTGAAAATGCACCGAGGCAAAGAAAAATTGCGATCTCTTCCTCGCTCATGCGATAGATGCATCCTTTTCGCGGCATGGCACCGGCCTCAAGAATGATCTCGTGGGAGATCGGCCGATCCAGCACCACACCGGTAGGAGACTCGAAGATATCGGTGAACTCGTCGACAGTCGCACCACTCGGGGGTCCGAAGACAAGTCCGTAGGTGAAGATTCGGTCGTCGCGGCCGCTCGTAGAAAACATAGGCCTATCTCGTCGGTCCGCTCGTAAGGGCAAGTGGCCCGAAAAGACTTAGCCGTTACAACTTGGCACCCGATCGAGGAGTGCGGAAGAGGAATGGTACACGGCACCTCGGCGCCGAAAGCGTCGCGAATGGTAAGTGTCCGCTGATGGAAGTTAACCGTGTGATCTGCACTTGCAAGCCAAGGCATCCCCAAAATAATGTCGAAGTTCGTGTCTAAGATGTCAAATGTCACCGGTTCGCATGCATGAGGTGCGAAATAAACCGACACAACTTCAATGTCGCGATCGAGAAGTTGTTGCGTCCGACCGTCCGCCAACTTGATCGCAGTCGAGTTTGGCTTCCTTCAAACTTGAGCGCCAAGGCCGACCCTTTGGATAAAGGACTGGCTGATGAAATTGCGAGTCGCGCCGCTATCCAGCATAGCGCTGCAGGACGCTTGCCCAACTTGGATGCAGACATAAAGGAGCAGTGCGTTGTTATCATCGTACCGCTGCATGCGAAACTCGCGGGCCACCTTGGTAACATACGCAAGGATGTCCCCCACCGCAGCTTCGCCATCCGTCGGCGAAGATGGTGGTGCATAGAAGGCTAAGTATCTGTGGAGATGGACGCATAGTGCTGCACATTGCAGTCCCGACAAGCAGCCTGTGGAAGGGAGAGGAAGCCATGCAAAATCCTCGGACGTCAACGGGTCCAAGACCTCTATGTTGAACTCGTGCGTCGAATCCCTGGAAGAACCACTTGAAGACGATCCATTGTTG